TGGTGATTTATGCTAGTGACCGCAACAGGTAGGTGTAAAGCAACAGCAATTCGTACAGTTAATAACGTGAGTAATTCAAGTCCAGTGCAAAAACGCATGATCGCACGGGCCCGCCCGGCGCGTTCCAGCCTGGGTATTTATTGTAATTACGAAAACAATAATTATCGTTGCCTGTATTATTATTGTTGTCATTATTTTTGTTGTCATTTCTACTACTATTATTATTGCTCTTATCAATACTACTATTATTACTCACTTTGAATTTTGAAATTCGGAGCCAGGTCCAGTGTGTGTGTTCCTCCGTATAACATTACGATCATCACCGTGATAACATCAACATTCCCAGCTGATCTTGGCAATTACAATTGGTAGAGGCATTTTCGTTTCATTCTACAGGGTTCCCACTGTAATCCATTAGATAGCACAACCTTAGTTCTAGTGCGCTAAAAATTGAAGAACTTTCTTTGGAAAGATCTTAGTTCACTATTCGGGTTTTTAACACAGTCGTATGAAAAAAGTGGTCCAATGTAACTAAGCCTTGCAAGCAGTCTAACAGTTGTTTACCTTCATTAGGATTTCCGATGTTATTATTTGAAGAGAAAACAACGATAGAGAAAGTATGCATAGTGACGGGAGCAAGCGAAGGAATTGGTGCGGCAATCGTACGCGAGCTAGCACTTGAAGGACATATGCGGGTTGTGTTTTGCGCACGAAGAGAAGAAAAGCTGAAGGAGCTAGCGAGAAAGTAAGCTCCATAACTTTCGAATAAATTGCATATGCATTGTGATGAGAAAAAGAGGGCAGTCTTGAGACTGACAATGAAGGAATGCTGGGGAAGACGGATTTTAGTGTCGGCAAAGCCGAGGATTGTGTCTTTTGGCTTTGATGACTTAACCCAAAAAAAGTGCAGCAGCTTTTATAGGTTGTTATAATTTAAATGGAATATTCATGGAAAATATCCTCGAAACTTTTGCGACAACGTGATTGACGCTATTTATTACTTAACGATTGTAAAAGATGATAAAGGAGCGACCGCCCTTCCTCGGCGGGTTCTGGAATGGTGGTGGGCTCCAGCCCAGCAACGGTATGTAAAGGGGTCCACGAAAACCGGTTGGCATCCAAAATCTACGAAGGTTATTCTCGTTACAGCATCAAAATCCTCTGCTATGCCTCCTCCGCTACTTTCATTATCCAGTTGAAGCTTTCTGTCAAGAACTCTTCTGACCCACCGAAAAGATTCGTCGACAATTCAAAGCTTATCATTAGTTTTGACCGCAGCATCAATGGGAAGTTGCCAGTTTTTTTTGAAGCGGAGGTAGGCTACGGTGAAGCGGTGGCTGATTATTTCAGGCTTGAAGTTGAGGGATGCCCATCGAGTAATTTGCTGCCAGTAGTATGTGACGTTACGCAGATAAGTGAAGTGCAGTATATGTTGGATCGGACTATGGAGACGTACGGAACCGTGGATGTGCTCATCAACAATGCCGGATGTATGTACTATCAGATGATCAAAAATGGACCAACCAAAGTAAGCTGCTTTTATTATGTCAAAACTGCTTTTTCTTAGGGCTGAAGAAGCAGCAAGGTATTTTTAATGAGTGATTTATCAAGAAAAGAAGTTATTCTTAGCCTCGGTTAGATATCGTGGTCTAGGATACAAAATAATCGTCAGTGTTGTAAGAATAATGCTTATTAAGCGGACTCAAAAGAAAGAGTGGAAAAATTGCAATTTATGTAGTTACTGCTCATATGATATGCCCTTTTTCAGCTTCAGATTATAAAGAGTCCGCTGTAGTCCAGTGTTTTTTTTTTTTTTTTTTTTTTTTTTTTTTTTTTTAAG